ATTCATCAGGACCTTATTGAAAACAATGGAATTAATAATTAATACCAATCAACCAAGTTGTTTTCATTTAGCTCGTATCACATGACCCTTGGGAGGTTACAGAATTATATCCGGGGGGGGGGGGGCATCTCCAATCCCATGACTAATGACAGCGTTTATTTCCAGTTCTTATTTCCAACATTCTCTTGATGGTGTAAGTAATAGAGTCGCTACAAACACATAATGCCTTATCATCAATTGATCTCTCATCATGAATTATAGAAAACTGTCTGTCCTCAGCGTACTTTTCCAAAAGGATACGAATGTTTGTTCCTTATTTAGAAGTGCTCCCATTTGTATCATCCCAACATGCTGTCATACTACCTTTGGTTTTTTTATGTTTACTTTTTGCCCATTATTGCTAATTAAAAAAAAATATATCGGTACGTTATTTTTTTTCTATATGTATTTGACTATAATCTAACATTGACAAGTTAATTTCTGATAATTTGAAACCTAACTATTTTTAAATTAAAAGTAGAAAATGTATTCTTAAAGTTCTTTAATTTCCATTTTTCAAAGAAAAAAGATTGTTAAATGGGTCATTTATATAATTACATATCATTTTATTACCTCTGGAGCTGTCAAACTGTGAAAGCTCTGACAGATGCAAAAGCAACAATCTGTCGGAATTCCCATTCATATGTCGATTCGATATACAGAGTCTGACACATCTGTGTCATATCTAGATATTTTACTAAAAAAAGACCTAACAACGAAACTTTATGATAAACGCGAAGACCAACTTTTCTATCGTCAAGTTGATGATGTAGCAATATACCCTTATCAACAGCATATGGAGTTTATATCTCCCAGTTGATTCGATGCGCAAGAGCATGCTCCACGTTCTAACAATTTCTAAAACGAGGCAAGCTATTCATAAACAAGTTGATGAAACAAGAATATCAACAGTCTTGTTTAAAGTCATCATTTCGCAAGTTCTATGGTCGATGTAATGACCTTGTCAGCAAATACAATTTATCATTTAGTCAAATGCTGACTGACGTTTTTCATACTAATTGTTAGGACATTATTTGAACACTGAATTTTCTACGGATTTTTCCGTTTGCCTGATCATGACAATGAGCACACGACGAATGTGACCGGTCGACAAAAGATGGTTACTCCTTCATGGCACCCGATCCAACCTCTGATGTATTTTAGAGGTCCATATTTGCTCTGCTTCCGATTGTATTGCTTCAGTGGACTTTTTTGCTTGAAAACTATTCGTTATCTCCATATTTCATTGTTAAATTTGAACAATGCCAAAAGGTCCCTCAATCATAAATCTTACACAGAGTGAATCTTATATTTTGTTCAGGGCGTTTATTATTATTTTTTTTAAATTTTGTTTTAATTTTATTACTTTTTTTTTTACAGTTAGTATCATAACCTTATAAAAACTGTAACAGTTTTGGAGTTAATAAAATCGCGAACTTAATTAATTTGACCCCGTCTTTCAGTACTGTATCAGTGATTTGATTTTTTGTTAAGTTGTGAGAAAACACAGGGCTCTTTGATACCGTTCAGGGTCATACAATATACCCAAATTCTGAATAAATTGATATATATGCTTAACACATGTCAAGTTGTATTAAAAGTAAACATTTGTGAAATAATAAAAAATGTATTTCTGATATCGTTTGAAGATTTCAATTTCACATACATCAGATGCCTTACTCAGGAAACCATTTTCAACTTATAGTCTTTAATATTTGTAAATGTCAAAGTCCTGCTAAGAAACATAACTATAATCATCGAATTAATTAAACCTCAGCCCGGACGTGTTAAAAAAACTACAGTGTTGCACATAAAGATTACGATCACAAATGGGAAGTGTTATCAAGATGTTCCATCTGGTCTTTTGCCGATCATAATTGCGTTTCATTTAGATTGTTTCGCGTCAATTGAGCTAAATCTCATTTCCAGTTTGGCTATAAAATATACTATACAGTTAGCAAGACGTCATTTTTGTACAGTCGTTAACTCTTCTTCTGTTTGAGATCAAAGATATGCAAGTCTACAAATAAACAGGAATCTGAAAAAGTGAGACAATCTTAAAAACGCTAACTATTTCATTTATGTACAAATCAGTGCACAAATTAGAGTAAACGAAACTTGTGTGCATTGTTATGAACACTGAAAGCGAACTTAGCTAGTATTACAGTATACAACATTTCACCTTTTCTCCAAATTTTTTGGTAAAAAAAAAATTCATCTAAAATTGGATTCGAAATAAAGATGAGAATTTTGATTATGTATTCAACTTAAAAAAAGAAGAGTTGCTGGATAATTCAAAAACTTATTAGGACAACAAAGAACTTATCTTTCATACTCGAGCTTACTGATTGAAATACATAGCGATAATTTGGATACCTTCGGTTTTGTACGTACTACAAATCAAACGATAATATAATGTGAATATAAGGACAACAATTGAAAAAAATGTTTCAGAGACATAAATGTCGCTGTTTCATTTTTTTTTTTTTGAATTGACATACATTTCAAGTATCACTGACGTTATTTTCCATTACAGCATTTATTTTTCATTACAGCATTTTTTTTTTCGAGATTTAAAAAAAAACGGGACGATAAGTCAGTAAAAGATAAAATAAACATTCAAAACTTTACCATAACATACAGACAATACTTTATAGTTAACCCCCCCCCCAACTCATAACTTTACCATGCCATACATACCATATACTTTATAGCTAACCCCCCCCCCCCCCCCCAACGTCGTATGTTACATTTTTTGACCCAGGTCAACAACCCCTGTTTAATTTATATTCCAGAATAAGTCAGCAGTGTTCAAGTTGACAAGTGGGTTGTTTTCAAGTCAAATTTTTTTTACATAAATTGTTGCATTATAATTTTTAAAATTTATTTTACAGACAAGTCAATAAATTGAAATTGACCATAGAAGTGTACATGTATTATACAATCCGATGCCATGTTTAATGGAGCTTAAGTACATGTAAATCATACTGGTCGCCTACTTTTGGCGTCGGTACTGTGACTGCAAATTACATGACAAATGGAATATATCACCAGCTGATAATCCGCAATGATATCGCTGAAACATTATAATTAATTTAAAAAAAAAGATGAGGGTCTAATAATGAAAAGGTCCATACAAAATTTACGGCAATGGACTGCTCAGAAAAAAGTTGGCTCTCTCCTCCTTCGTGTTTTACAGGCCTACACGTATAAAATCAAATTGCATGATATATAGTATCAACTATCTAAAAGAAAAAAAAAAGATTTCACTGATTATCAAATATTTAAACTATTTTTTTGTCCATTTCATTTATAGACATAACAGGGTATGGTATGCATACTGCTCCATATCTTTTACCATCTGGAGGAAAAACACGTATGTACGAAACGATTGAACAGTAAAATCTCGCTTTCTCTGAAAAATAAATCGATAGGCCACCAATCATATAGTCATAAAGTATGTACAGATAATACGTCGTAAACCACTCTGTGTGGTTGTTATGATTTTTAGATCATGCAAATGATCGACCTGAAAAATGTAGATTGCATCCTCGCATTTTATCGCACATACCTGCAATCTGCTTTTAACGAATATTTCATGTTTTCTGGGTACATTAGCGCATAGCTCAAGGTGCATGGGTATCGTGCTATCAGTTGGCCATCAATAAAGGTCTCAATGCTTAACAGTGTCACAGATCTCTGATGAAGCAAAGTGTCTATTTTATTTCAAGCTATCTCAATGCTTGACAGTAGGTGTCTATTTTATTTCAAGCTATCTCAATGCTTGACAGTGCCACAGATCTCAAATAGAGGAAGTTGGGTGTCTATTTTATTTCAAGCTATCTCAATGCTTGACAGTGCCACAGATCTCAAATAGAGGAAGTTAGGTGTCTATTTTATTTCAGGCTATTTATAAGTTCCATTTGATGATTCAAAAAAATAGCATCAATTCACACATTTAGTTTGCTGATATTAGAAAAAATGTTTGTGAGCATTGAATCTCACTCAATTTTCGCATATTTTCTTGGTTTAACTTTTCATTACTAATTTTTCATCTCGCTGAATAAACAGAAACCAAATTGTAAAACACGGCTACTCAGAAAATTAAATAACAATGACAAATTGAATATCATTCTTTTAATTGCTTTGTAAAATCTTATTTGTCAGGATTCATTAGTATAACCAGTCAAGAAAATTTCGAAAAAACATCAATAAAATTAAAACTTTCTGTAATTTGCATTCTGCTGCAGAAATGCATAGTGCTATTCATTGCTTAAAATTGTTGATGAGTATTACATTTATGGTGAATTATTTAAAGGCTATTTATTGTGTATCTGCTTTTAAATCATAAGAATGGAGCATATAAACGAAACACATTTTTACAAGTATAGAAAGAGAGAATTAGAACATTAAAACCTAATTGATATTTCTACAGCAGAATGTCAACTTAATCATTCATAGAGAAAACATTTTTTATTGTTGTCTTAAAATCCTTTCAGTCCTCTTAATCAACTTAATGTCATCAAGAAAATGTCAATTGAAGAGCAAAAATAACCATTAATACAGATATACAAAACCCACTCACAGACAAATCATGCTATCGATGTAATTTCTAGACGGTGCTCATTCATAAAATCACTGAGCATTTCCGCCTTCATAGATTGCACTTTCATGGATATTTTGTAGTAAGAATTTCATTTTTTACCTCAAGAACTCTTAGCAATGTACACGTATGTTGATTCTGGAACTATTTTTAAATGTAATGTAATAACGTGACATTGCGTCATTTGGAAAACATTTTAGACATAAATACTTTAATATCCATAAATATCCAGATATCTAGGCTCTTAAATTTTATGCCATTTCAGTTCCAATGATAATTTGCAATTGAAACCACAGCATCAAATTTGATACGACTTTGATACGACAAAGATGGACTCATTATTTGCTGTATTTTTCAGCCTTTACCGACGGCGGGTTTCCGGAATTCGACAACGATCCTAACAATGTTACATTCAATGTTGGGGAAACTGCAACACTTCCGTGTCACGTGGTCAATTTGCAAACAAGATATGTAAGTATATAATTCGTAAAATACATGAAGGTGAAATAGACTGGTTTCCATTCTGAGTATGAAATACGATATGATTTTTGATTGATAATGTTATCATCATAAAACACAAAAAAGGTGTCTTTATGACCAAAGTAATTAAGGAATAAATACCGAAATTCTGTGACTGAACCGATTAAAGCTATATATGGCGTAACTGAGCTTGAAAAATAATGATAAGAGATTGAGTGTAAATATACATGATATATGTTATTTACGTTCAAATTAGAATTTTCACCGATTTTGAGCTTTAATTACCTCACGTTTCTATAGTTAAATTGACTTTAAATTTGTCTGTTATTTAAATGACTGTGGAGTCGGTAAATAAATCGGTTATTGTTTTAAATTTTAAAAATCTTTGAAATGCGATTGATTTAAACTGTGAAATTTACAGGAACGTCCTATCTTTATATAAAGTAATAAAACAAATAGAAAGATCTTTTTAATTTTGGTTACCTCAACTTATCAAATAATACGCCATATACATGTATGACTTCAATAAAATACACTTGAGCTTAAAATAGCTTAAAAAGTTTTAAAACATGACTTTTAGGCATGCAGTGATAGTAACTAGGTTACACGTATACCAATAAAGTGCTTGTATAGAGGATTTCAGGCACGTACACATGTGTACGTGTACCATTGACTCAGTCCTTTAGAATAAATCCAAAAACGTAACAGAACTAAAGAGCACATGAGCCCTGGATAAAAGAGACAATGTAGTCTTTATGACACCTACATACTAAACCTGTTATCGAAAATATGATAATTTCCATATGTTCTATCCAAATCCATAGAAAACTGTTCAACAATGAGAAATTTGGCAGACAGAATTGTAGATCATAACCTACATACTACATAATGACCCGGATATTTGGTAGAAAATATTACTTACAGTTTCATCAAAAATCAGTATCAGATTAAACATAATCACTGTCCACCAAAGAATCACCATATCATTTGATAGCGGAATTCCTTATAAAGGAAAGTAGTGGACCTCAAATACAATTAGCAACATTAATTTACACCCGAAAAGGGCAATTAAATTTATCATCAGTTCCTAATGTAAGACAAACTCTTATTGGATAATGGTGTACCCTCCCCCCCCCCCAAACACACACACACACCCTCACACACCCTCACACATACACACACGAACACTCCTAAAAGGTAAAACGCTTGATCTGCGGCGTTACTCTTTTCTACTGCCACCTGGTAAATTCAAAATTTACAACATGACAGTTCATGCAGTCACTTAAAAGTCTGTCAGTGTCATTCCTTTTTAATAAATATGATGTGATATATTGATCAGAGGCCTTTGTATATCCTTTTTGTTTCAAATAAACTTAAATACAGAGTAGAATTCATGTATGATTGATAACCATGCAAAAAGAAAAAATGTTAATCTCTCTTTCTTCTTGTACACGAACACCTCTACATTATATAGATATGCACCTGATCAAAGCCAGCTCAATTGACCTGAATATTTGATAACGTGACCTTCGGTATACATATGTTTCTTCGTATAAAAATTCTTTAAAACAGATGTTTACGGACATAAAATTCATACACATCATTAAGCAGGCTCAGGAAATGATTGTTTTTACACTTTTGAACACGGTATTTGTTACAACAAAAGTAAAAATATTTCATTCAATTTTCTTAATTTTAGCCCTTTTTTGCCTGCAGCCTTTCAAAGAAATTTTACGTTTCTTGAAATTTTTATTTACCCAGATGCCTTGGTATTGCAAAACAGTTATCGTCAACAAAAAATAATAAACTCGGTCTCCCCCGCTTTTTTAGATAAAAAACTTCTTTTGACATGAAAGAAAAACATTAAACAAACGTTATCATCTTATCCAATTAATTGAGTCTGAAGGAGAGTAAATCAAAACAAAAGGTAAAAGATCTTTGAAAATGATAACTGATTGTCGATAGAATGGATCGTTCCTTTCTGGTTTTCTCTGTAAATTTGGTTGATGCTTATCTTTAGTTTCATTTCGTGTTCTTAGAGGTTGTTCAATAAATTTTGATAGATTTTGAAATTGCTTATAAGGATCCATAAAGATATGACATGATTTTTTTTTAAAAAAAGATTTCCTTTCAAAGTATTATATAATGGTAAAATAAATATGCCATGAAATTATAAAGAAGTATTCTTTCATAAAACATTTTCCCACTGATAGTCTTGAAAACCGTTTGATGATACCACAAAAGAGAACTTGTCATTTAATCTTCAAGGGAAAGATAAAATGTCTTTTTGTCGCGGGCTTTTGCCTTGTCAGGTTCCAATAAAGCATTTATCAGATCCCCTGGGAGTGTTGAGTTTTCTCAATTTGGACACAATAAATCAAATCCGTTTCCATCATAAGAGTACCATTGCTTCTTTCTTTAAAAATAAGAGTTAGACGTTACCTTAGCTGGTAAACTATTGAAATTCCTAAATCAATTTTTTGTAACAAAGGCATAAATCAATTATGTTACATCATATTATTATGGTATTCCAACCTATATGAACTCGGTTGATTTTTACTCAGAAGTCCAGACATTTTTAATACTAGTATCTAGTGGCGGGCGGACTGGCGGGAGTGTCTAATTTTCGCTGTCTCATTTAACTTTGTGCAATTAATAAACATATACGAGTATAATTGTAAGTAAATGTTTGTACCAAAGATTGACATGGTCATTGACTCCTTTCTTGATTTCTTCATTTCTTTTTTAAATGAATTTTCAGCAATGTTTTCATTAAACAACGAATACAGTTTGCAAATTTGGCTAATGTTTTACGTATCAAAATTAGCTCTGGGTTTCCTGCACAAAAAATACTGAAAATATGACAAAAATTCATTTTAAAAGGAGGACAATTTGGTAAAGGATCATAGCCTTCTTTTAACCTGAATTAATTCATTTGCTGTTAATGAAATAAACGCTGGTTTAAACTAATAACATCTTAGGTTTTTTAAGTTGCTATTAACTTCATATGAGGTACCAGAAGATGTTCATCTCAAACATATCATGTCAAACATTGTCCTTTTATGTGTATTTGATAAGATGTGAATGATTTTCTGTTTGCATCGTGGATATGGATTATTTGAGAGCTACTATTTTCACTTGAACAAGTCTTTCATTGATTAACTTTAAACCTAACGAAGAGGTCATATTTATTTTGTAATAAGGATGAAGACATGTGAAATGTTTATTTTTTCACTGTCTTTCTAATTTGAACTTTGAAAGTTCAACGTTTAAATCTAATTTATCACATCTATCAAGTTTAAAATACTAAACAAGTTGCATAAATATGTAAGAAAATACAATATTTGGACATCTGTCATTTGGACACATCGACCGCTCCTTTGAGAGGCCCTGCATAGTTTCTTACTGAACTTTTACATCGTAAATCCATGTACATATTCAGAAGGCACTTATACTGAACATTACTCTTAATTTAAGAGCTGTGGAATAATTCTTTATGTTTAAGATTTCTACTTATGATCACCCACAGCTAAAATTACATGTACTTCTACTCTTCAGACTCTTGTTTTCAAGGATATAAAAGACATGAAATATTTATTTATATCAGGCACCTATAAACTAACATTAGTGTATACATATTAATCCCTGTTTATATGCATATATATCCATTTGTGAATTTTTTTTTTTATAACAATCGCAACTTTTTGCATGGGCCTTTCTGACAAGGGGAAAAAACAACCTCGAATGTGTTACGTATAGTACGGAAATTGTATAAGTGCCACGTAATATTTTGTTTAAGTTGGTAATTCAAACTTTAAAGTTGGCTTTTCCAACTTTAAATTGGTAATTCCAACTTTAATCTTGGCTTTTCCAACTTAAAAAGTTGACTTCACCAACTTAAAAGTTGGTAATTCCAACTTTAAAGTTGGTAATTCCAACTTTAAAGTTGGTAATTCCAACTTTAAAGTAGGCTTTTCCAACTTTAATCTTGGTTTTTCTAACTTTAATTGAGCTTTTCTAGACCTTATCATAGCTTTTTTTTCCTTTATTTTAAATTGTTACCAATTTTATTAATGCTTAATTAATACACTTAAATAGGTTGGTAATTAATCTGTGTCAATCATTTTTGGATGGAGGCTCTTAGAGCGTAAAGTTGTGTTAGCATGACGACGTGTTTGTGTTAGCGCAACGGTGTGTTGTGTAAAGTTGTGTTTAGCGTGACGGCGTGTTGTGTGTTAGCGCGACGGTGTGTTGTGCAAAGTTGTGTTAACGTGACAGCATGTTTTGTATTAGCGCGAAGGCGTGTTGTGTAAAGTTGCAATAGCGTGATGACGTGTTGTGTAAGCGCGATGGTGTGTTGTGAACAACAAATTAGTGCATTGTCACTTCACGTTAGCGCATTGTTCCTAACGCGCTGTTACACTTTTGTAAAAAGCCCTATCGAGACACCATTGTTTTCTCATACTTAAGCCATTCCTCCTTAACCCTGTACTTAAAAAAGAGCCCACAAAAGTATCCACATTTTTTAAAGTTATGCTTCTAGTTTTCAGGTGGAATTAATGTGAATTGCTTTTTATTCTCAACAACCTGTATTGGCAATTCACCGTTTTTTAAATATATAAATTGTCGTATTTATGCCTCCGTCCTTCAGTACTTTCAGTACTTTGATTTAACTTGGCCTTCCCTATTACCTTACATATAACTTCCAACTTTGTAAACCCTGATCATGTTTTTGGTCCATCTTATATAATTATACAGAGAATAACTTCATACAACTCCGTACATGATAGTATTTCACCCAAACGTATTTAAGAGCTAGATCAGACATATATTTTGTTTTGTATGAGAGAATAAGCTTAAACAAATATTATTTGGTGTTTAATATATGGTATGAATCAACACTATAATACATGCTACAAATGCAACTGAACTAAATATATCAATTATGCATGTAAAAACACGATTAAATAATTCCTTCTTTCATCATAATTTCATAATTAAATCGTTTCTTTCCATTTTAACTACATGTATAAAACAGCAACACGAGTCCAGCTACAAAGTATCTGAATATAATGCATAAAGCCGTACAAAGATAGAAAAGCCATAATTAAAGATGGAATTACCAACTTCAAAGTTGGAAAAGCCAAGATTAAGGTTAGAATTACCAACTTTAAAGTTGGAATTATCGACTTTAAAGTTGGAATTACCAACTTTAAAGTTGGAATTATCGACTTTAAAAAAAATTACGTCCAAGACAACCCTTTTCCTAAACTTTGAAATAAATGTAGGGAGACCTCTCTGTAGGGTATGGAGCTTAACTTCATTGAATGTAATGATATTACCTAAAATATACAGTGTACTACAGAAGAGACTTCCAACTCCGTCTATCCAATACTTTAATAAATAGGATGCGAGTTTTTTAAAATAGATCTAGATCTTCTACATATTGTTTAAATTTTTAACATCCGGTTAACATCCAAGCTTGCCGAAAAGACCCGAGAAGATGCGATTGCTCTTAAGAATTGGCATTTAATTTAATAAAAGTAAAAAAGTATTTAATTTAATAAAAGTAAAAAAGTATATATTTTACTTTCTTATTTTTAGCTGTACTGGATGAGGATGTCCGAACCTAACCCTATTACTGTTGGAACTTTTGTTTACAGCCCGGACACACGGTTCTCCGTCAGAAAAGACCCTACCTCCACACACTGGGATCTCAGAATCCGGAATGTGAAGCCGGAAGACGCGGGTGTATATTTTTGTGCTGTTAGTTCCGGAGAGAGCAGAGAAAAATACCGGAGACTAATCAAACTTAATGTGAAAGGTATATAGAAAATAACAGGAATTACTTAATATAATGTTATTTGGATTGAGTCTCTAAAGTCTTGATTCCTTATTGAAAAAATACTAATTTACATTGAATAAAAATGATAATATAAGTCGATATATTTTCTACCCTGTTGTAAAATTGAATTTTGTACATGTATCATGTACGTTTTCACTCACAGAGAAGTACACCGTATAAAAAATGACAAGTCGATATATTTTCTAACTCTGTTGGAAAATTGAATTTGGTACATGTTTTACGTTTTCAAAAACAGAGAAATGACTCATACTAGCATGATCAAGGATATTTTGCAAAAATTTTAATTTCACAGACGCAGAATTTCCAAATGTTTATCATTGAAAAAAACTGACGAGAAATATAACTTTTTCATAAATATCAAGACTTTTTTCTCAGTTATAGCCATTATATTTTGTTGGTTGAGGATTTATGCTAATAGTTTAACTAACCATTAACTTTGACAAGTGTCACGGGGTAAAACACTTACATTTATAAAAGCCGTAAATGGTAATAGGAAAATAATAATTCCAGCATTGAAAAAACAGACATTTCGGAAACGTTTATGACTTTGTATGAAAAATGCTAATTGAATTGCATATACTCCATATTCCCCTAGGATCTGTCCATAATGCAAATGCCTCGGATCCAGAAAGCTGGACCATTCATTCAATCGACTGCTTTAGAATACTGACGATGTCAATATGGAAAAAAATAAATCATGTGCAGAAAAACAAATATATATAGACAATTCGATACACCGGACTCGCCGAAATGCACTATTTGCGCTGTTTTATAAGTATTCAGAGGTTAATCGCATGTCAGGGCATTAGGTGCAAAATCCTAAAATAACCGCTGAAGTAAAGTAAAAGTGATGAAATTGTATAGTTTAGTCTAATATTGCTTTTAAAAGTGAAAAGTGGGGTAATCTATTCAAATTGCATTATCTCATACGACAAAAATTATTAATTTCTACAAAAATTTAAACATGAAATATAAAACTGTGTATTTTAAAAGTTGAAATAATTCATAATAATTTGATTAAACTGCATATTAGCTATACTCATTGTGCAGGCAGATAAGTGGATGGTTCTAAAACCACAAGAACGAGGGCAGCCGAACCTGTAGAGCGCTAAGAAAGTTTTACAGGCCTTATAATGAATAAATCTTGATAGTCGTAATATTAATTGACGTTGTTCAATCCAACATAATGGCTGAATGGTGTATGATGGACGATAGACCGTGTTAACGATCAGTCCACTGTAAGTGGCCAAGTATGCTGTAATGGACGCTCGAGAATAAGGAACGAAAAATGATAATGCCATTGTTCTCCTAAAATGATTAATTAGGATGAAACAACACTCCGAATCTCAAGGAGTCGACCACAATGCACAAGGTTGCTTGACCTCATCTAATATTGATACTCATGTTTAAACATACAAAGGTACCAGCCTGAATAAGCTTCTCATAGATACACAGGCAATTGCCGAAACCTTATAGCACCTTTTAATTATTAAATTATTTTGACATAATTTTAGCATTTTGCTGTTAAAAACATGTAGTTACATTAGGTCCCATCAGACATTATTGTAAAGGGGGGGGGTATTTAAATATTCTTGTTCAAATATTCTTATTTTGTCCTTCAATGGCTCCTAAAATATGTAAAATTACGAATCGACGGATACTCGGTAAACACCTTTTTAGGCATTTATAAATTTCAATTAAAAGTTTGAAATGATAAAAAGGATTGTGTGTTTCCTTAGCATTAGCCTGTCTAGAACAGATAAATCATACAGATCTCATGATCAAGGTATTGCTTATATGGAATATGAACTAAACCTTTGGCGATAAATGTTGAATAAGAATGCTTTCCTTTCTAAAGAAATAGTTCAGAAAATTCACAGTTCTTGTAAATCAAATGTGTAAAATCAAAATGATGCTGGAGTTCATCATTGAGAATTTATATATATATATATATATATATATATATATATATATATATATATATATATATATATATATATATATATATATATATATATATATAGGGGTCCAGGTCTTCCAAAAATCTGTTGGAATTCCGATTGGCAAAAATTGTAATATTTTACTAGTCTATCTGTTTTTTTATATTCCTATGGACTATGGAGTAGAAATCTTTCAAAAACTTCTACATAAGTAGAAGAATTCCCTTACGGTGGCCTTCAATTCGATTAATTTAGGTATATCGACGACGTCTTTTCAATTAACAATTATAGTTATTTTCATTCTTATTTCGACTTCATATATCCAAGTGAACTTGAAATAAAAGATACGTACCACGGAGTCTGCTAAATTTGTTTCATATTTTAAATTTTTAATGGCTATAGAAGTTTAAGAGCAACCTACAACTAAAGCATATCACAAGCGGGACGTTTTCACTTTATTCATCATCAACTCCTCCTATTTATGTAGTAATACTTCACTTTCACCTGCATTTAGTGTTTATGTCACCCGATTTGGTATGGAAGAGCATGTTCTGAGTACGATCAATTTTTGATTCGAGGCAGGATACTAACAAGTTAGTTAATGTTACAGGTCTTTCAACAGTCTCGTTTAATGTGAAGCCTTATTCGTTTGACGTCATATTGTAAACCAGAAATGCTACTACCTTGTACGGTTTACTTCCCCCAAAATTAACCACATATTCCCAATTGTTTTGGAGATTTCAATGTTGTATTCTTCTCAGAATATATGACAAAAGGCTGTTTTTAAACTATGGGTAAAAATAAACTGGCTATATGTGTACCTGGCTATACGTGTTTGAATTGTGTAGAGATGCATCTTTAATAATGAGATGTTGATCTTCAGTAAAGAGATTTCGATCTGTGTAAAAGTGCTTCATTAATTGTCTTCTTAAGTGAAATTTTTATGAAATATAAAAATGTATTTAAAGTTGATTATTTTAAAAGGTATGTATTTTTTTCCGATTTCTACACTTAGAGATGACATTCTTACAAAAAATGAGTCTTAGTGCAAAAATGTAAAATTTCTATCATTCGGATGTAAAAACACACATAATTTTCAAATAATTGCGATTACGTATAATTTTTTCCTAATGTATGTTTATTAATGTATTTCCCGATTTGGATTTTTCTCAGATTTATACAAATATTTGAAATTAAACATTTACATGTATGAAAATTGAAATGAAATCTATATGATGCATTGCATCATCAGTTTAGTGCATATGGCTTTAAAAAAAACCGAGGGATAAATTTAAATTAATGTATCATTTAATTCAAATTATTGATATGTAATTCTTTCATTGTCCTTGTTTTCTTTTTTTAAAATATAGCTGGAAATTATTTATCTGAAATGGATTCTGCCACAGCAGGGTTGGTCTGTACCCCCAACTTTAAGTGGCACTGAAAAAAATAATACGATGATAATGACTGTTTTTCCATAAATATGTTTTATGTGAGTTAGTTAAAAATGATTAATGTTGAAAAAAATCCCCTCAGAAATTAACCCGAGTATGGCTCTTTCTTTAAGTCAGTATTTCACAATTTTTATTTTCGTTATAGTGACCTTTTTAGGAAAAAAAATTTATTGTTGAATCGGTTTTTGACTATCGATCATGTTTCATACGAATTGTTAGACTTATTTAATATCAATTTTGACAACGGATTACTCCGTTCTTCTGATCAATACATTGGGCTAACAGCGGATGTGACCCGTCGACAGGGGATGCTTACCCCTCCTAGGCATCTGATCCCACGTCTGGTGTTTCCAGGGATCCATGTTTTAGCCCTGTTTTGTTGTATGAAATTGATCACTTTTAGTAATCTTCACCTTTTTCATTCTCCATATCAAACTCACGGTCCAAATTTATTACAATAAAGAAGCATTTAAATTTTTTTATCTTTGTAATTAAAAAACGAACAAGTATGTTCTTTTGTCTGCTAAAGAGAAAGTCGTCTATCTTATCACAATCGTATTTTTGATTGATAATTCACAACTTAGTTTCATTCTAAACTTCGTAAATCCAAACTCAGGATCATGGAAGTACAAAATAATACAGTGATTGATGATAACTCTTGTATAAATTTCTCCTGTATAAACTTCATTGTAACGTTATCTTTTCCCAGTAGTTTTTATTGTAAACTGTTTGCATGACAAAAAAGCCTGTTCATAACATCTATCATTGTAATGACTAGCGTAAACATCCTGGCTCAATTCAATGTGTCAGTAGATGTTTCATATGGTCATAAGTTATTTTCAATTACTCATCAAGTAGCACAGAGCAATGTAATTTGATGTGTAATGAAATATTTACACACAACTTGAACACGCAAAACCTCGAACACTGTGCAACTTATCTTCGTCAGTCTGTTTTATCAATTTTTTATTTGCAGAAGTCACGACAATTCCACCAGGTAAGTACATAGTTTTAACTTTCCAGCCTTACTGTCGTCTGCTACTAGCATCAAATTCATCAACAGCTTACATTTGCTACTAAACATGCAACAGGCACATTTTCTTTAATATCAAGCAAATGAGAATGGCAATTCCATTACTAGAATATTTAACTACGTTTCATTACGAAATTAGAACGGATACTGTGTTTTTCCAATTTATTTCTCATAAAACATTACAGCTTAATTAGAGTTCACGTAATCGGCTTTTTATGTGTTTCCGTCTTTTTCTGTGATGTGTCTTGGTGCATTGGAACATAGATTCAAAACTAGCTTGCTTCAACCCTTATTTCGTGCAAGGCTTGACATCATTCAATATTAATATTATTTTAGTTTTGCTATCTATAGAAAATGTACCCAATAAAGCAACATTTCAGTAAGGTAAAAATTTCAATCTAAACATCCCATTTTAGACTCTTTGAGAATGCCCTTCCAATGGATGTTTGCGAAAACCCCACATAAAATTGTGTGTTGTAATACAAACTTAATTGCCTTTTAATAGTCCAACTTTTTATGTTCTTGCATTTTGCCATTTTCTAATTTTGCAGGCATAATTTTAAATGGATCTGAATTTGTGAATAAAGGTGATCCATTGGTACTAGAATGTCTGGCTACTGGATTCAATCAGATGTCCGACTACTTAGAATGGTATAAAGACGGCAAAATAATAGACAATGGTTACATATGGAAACATCATCGTCTTCGAGGACGAGCAATGAACATTACGGATTTTCATTTCATAGAAACAAAAACACTTAAACGTGTTTTATATATTGCCCGAGTCACAATGGAAGATTCGGGCACTTATATGTGTCGGATCTCAGATGATATAGCTAAGAAGACAGTTCATGTTCTAGATGGTGAGTGTGAGCTTACTTGAAATTATAATACACTGATTCTCCCTTCTCTTTAACTATACACGTAATTTCATAAGCAGTTTTGTTTGTTGGTGTAAAATATATTTTTCAGTTTCATCAAGATTGGATTATTTCGAAAAATATTATACATGTAATATGGTGGAGGGTGAGGGATTTATGTCGAAGCTACGCTAACATATAGCTTTCTCCTACCTACTAAAAATATCCTATCATACATTAATCATATGACATGATTTGAGTTCCGTCTATCACTTCCGTCTATCACTTCTTATGAACTCATTGACTTGTATCAGTAATATTCAAAGGTCTTCATTTGACTTATATCACTAATATTCAAAGGTCTTCGTTTGAAGATGTTGTCTACACTACAGCAGAACTTTAAAACATTGAAGATTTAACTTTCATCATTGATATTATTTTATTTACATTTCAGAGGGATCATCAAGTATTGATAAAAGAGGTGAGTCATTGCTCCTTTGAGAAAAGCTTAATTAATATATCGATTTGAATTGAAATTCAATTTATGTTAGTACATGAACATAAAGATCATTTAAATTTATATTACTATAAAAGTGTTTTATAAAATGCACAATACTTTAAATCTATTATTCTGTTTAGAGCTACCTATGTGATAGAAAGTTTTCAGTTTGCAAATATGAATTTAAACATTTAAATATGTTTCAGATTGGATTTAATATTTAAACATTTAAATTTTAATATGAATTTAAAACATATAACGGTGTATATACGTGTACAGTTTCGTACTTTTTAAACTCACATGGTTTTTCGCACAAATTAAAATCACATTTTTTTTGGTTATTGTTTTTGTTTTTGCTGTTTCTTGCCCGATACAGCTGCCTTTGTATCTGTTCTTTGGAAAGTAGTATCTTTTTGCAGGAGCGTATATGTAGCTCTCCATTTTACTCTTTCTTATAACTTTTATAGAATTGTCGTTTTACTTCATTAAGGATATAATGTTTTATTTTACAATCTTTTTCTTCAACTTTCGCACTGAATCGCCTTTCCTGTAATGCTAGATTCTTGAAGACTCTCTCTTGACTATGGGTGACTTTTTTCCCTTGCCTATAGACACGGTACCTGTATTTTGTATATTTATGACATTCACATGACTTCATGACGCAAGATGATAACACAGCATTTCTCTTTAATCTGCTCAACTGCTTTCCATGTTAAAAAATAGTAACAATTTACCATTTTTAATGGATAAGCAATACTTCATTATCCTCCCCTTTGGTTTCCATCCGCAGCTGTATTCCTTTTCGGTGCTACATTTCAATAAAACCAAGACGTGTTTAATAAATGAGCAAAGTATTTAAAAAATACTTACCTTAAAGAAGTCAATTTGAAAAGAATTCAACCAAATTTATTAATTTAATTTGTAAATACCAATAGTGGAATTATCGTTGTTGCATCGTACCATTTATTGATCAACTCCCCTTTATAATATCGACTTTGAAAAATTATAATACTTATAATATTTTTCAATGTTTTCCCTTGACATGAGATAACAAATACGTCTCAGGGTTATTTTGTTGTACTTTGGTTAGATAATGTTATTATTATTACAAGTTTGTGCGAAAAACCACGTGAGGTTAAAAAGTACGCGGAAATGCATTTCTTCACGTATGTGATACACTGATACTTTATCATGTAATTTTTTTCCTAAGTAAGACAATTTCTTGCAATTGATCCTGTGCAGAATTTTGAAATAGTAAATTAATTTGATATTTTTACTTACATAAATTGATGATCGATTGTTTCATTCATATCCCTATTCTTGCAACATATCAGAATACATATATATATTGTAGAATTATATATTCGTCTCAGTTGCTCAAATGTTCATCGGTTTTTCTCTCGACAAATTATGACGGTTACTGAACCATAGTTATCATATATATTAGGAACATTAAAGAATGGTCGTATATTTAATTGTAATATAGTTTCAGTCTTTCGGGTTAATGCTCTTTTGTTTATTTCCTGCTTCTCTCAGGAGATCATGATGCTGAATTCATTCAAGGTAGGTCAATGGTCCTCCAAGATTAAACCAAGTTCCACCAATAGACTACTTCTTTTATATGTATATCTCAAAATTTGTTTTTTGGCCACCTTTCTGGGGAACAAAAATTCAATGAATCAGTAAACACAACATTCATTGTATTGTTTAAGCTTAATACTTTGTTAGCATAATAATAAGGATCCACGTTGTAAGTGTAATAAAAATTCTTTTTTTTTTCAAATAATAAAAATCTGAACCAGGCAGAACAATAAAAGAAAATATTAAAAATAATGTTTATTTTTTCTATATCTTCTTTTATCGACATTTATTACATACTTAGTAATAAGTACAGGTTTTTTTTGCATATGTGATATGCCTGATGTCAAAATAGCGTAAGAGCTTTCCGGGCTGATATGAATCCTGCAGGGCTGATATGAATCTGAAGGCCAGATACGGATTTATATCACACCCCTTGTAGATTAAACCTTTAAAACATAATATGTGATAATACATCTATTTCTCTTTGACATTTTCTGTAAAAAAAAAAATAAATAAATAAATAAAATAAAATAAATTACTGGAATTTGATACACTAGTCGTTGATAATTTATTTGCTAAAGTGGATATGTGCTGTATGTTATTACTAAATATGTAATAATCAAAACAAAACATACCATTTTCCATAACGCACCCTGAATCAGCCTGAGGCACAAATATCAGCCAGAGGCCGAAGTGTGAAAAAATAACACTTTTATTCCATTCTCCTATTGATGAGAGCATAATAATTGAATTAATGCGCGCATCAAATCATATAATTCATTTATTGCGCCCACTCATACAATTTCATTCTCGCATCAATCACTACGCAATATTGGAGTTTAAGTAAAATAATCTTTAAAAAATTCAAGATATCTTCAAATACTCGACGTTATAATTTTTGATTCATAGATAAGTTTATTTCATAATGAATATGAAACATGGGCACATTAGTGTTTTAGGATATGTTTATAGATTGTGTGTGACTGCTTTAAAAATGATCTGTTTTGTCTGGACTGAAGAATGACAAACATACAGCACAGGGTCATCAGATCTACAGAATACATAGTGAAGATTAAATATTAAAACATGTATATATTCTTTCTGTTGTCCATGGACACAAATTACAATGTCATTCTCTATCAAATTCCAAAAGAGTTTTAATAAATTGAGTTTGAACATTCTGTAAGCCATATTGATTGTTTTGGATAGCTTTTATTCTTGTTGGAAGACCTGTCATAGTTAATTATTGTATTTTTAGAGACGTATAACTCTGGGAATAGCATAGAAGTCCCTTGGGCCGTGAGAATAATGACCTTTATTATGGAGGAGGTCGCCATTGTAATATTTTGTCATCTGCAAGTGACATGACGAAAATTAAGACCTCTCTTGGCAAACACATTCAGCCCAAGGTTGAGAATACCCTGGACTTTTAAAGAGAGGATATTTGCTAGAGTCTGAACCGAAGAGGTAACGATGTGTTTTCTAAAAATGATCAAATAGAAAATTTGATTGTGCCATGTTACATTTCCTTCTTCGTCATTCCTTACCGGAAACGGATGATCATAGAGTGGAAAGGAATAAGATAAAATGACGACGGGAAAATTTCTGTGCTTTGCGAAACCACTATTCAGAGTTTTGCCAAAGCATTGACACAAAGATGGATTTTGTCCAAATAGTCTTTCAGATATAAATTCACTCTCATGTGTAGGATAATTTCATGATGGTGTACACGAAACTTAGCTGTATAAAAAAGAAATTATTTTTGTGATCACTTCCATTTATCTGTAGTAGAATTATAATTCTTTTTAAAGTATTAACTTTAGTTTATTTTACCATTTCATTGCTTCATTTTCAGTCATTTCTGTTACATCTTGAGCTACTGTTATTTATCAAATAAAGTTACTACGATACATGTTTGGTACAAATTTTTTAAGTATCTTTAACACATAGGAAACATTTCACAATGTATACTGCGATTGACGGAGTTTTTATGTGTCAAAACAGCGATATCATAAATCCTCCAAATTGCAACAATTGATAGATCTTTTAGATGTGTCTGCAATATCGATCATATTCAAGAAATTTTCTAACGCAAAAATGGCAAATACAGATGAGTGGGGATGATATACAGATAAATTACTGTTTTGCCAACTAGACGACCAAAATAGATAGAAGATATTCTTATCACTTAAGAAATTTATTTATTTGTTATTGATATTAAACAATTAGCCAAAATGTTTTCAGCTGATCGTACCAGTTTAATTTATTAAATAAGGAGGACACGGCAATCAAGAATCGTCTTATTATTAGACTAGACTGAAGCTAGCAGCCAATAACAGCAGCCATTAAGCCCGTAGAAGCTAGCAGCCAATAAGGAAATTCATCAAAGGACTGAGAGTACTCTGACGCAATACTGTTTAATGCCTCATTTTCGACAATTTATAATTAATAATTAGATAATTAATGCAACACTTTATTATTTAATAATTCAAACACTTGGAGGCAGTTAAGCTCACCTGCATAAGGAAAATTATGCGGTTTCAAAACAAACACACAAAAAAAGAGAAAATGTCACCATCTTTGACCGCTAAAGAACAAACCAACATTGGAAATAGGTTAAGTACTTCCGGGAGAATCCTTTTTAAGCTCTTTTACGGGTCTCAGGAACATGATGGTGCCAAAAGGCTAACCTGAAATTTGCTTACTCCTAATATTTACATTGATAAGGGTTTGAAGGTAATTTAATCTATTTTAAGTTATTATCCTTGAAATGTGAATCGAACAATTACTGGCACAAAGTAAAGGGTCCACAGGGCTATTATATACGGCCATGAAAATTAGGCTGAAGTGGTACCACCAAGTGGTGCCAAAGGTGGGTTACATATTTCAAGCAGCTATCATACCTCTTATCTTATAAGAGTGGTGTGCTTTAAATCATTACTGTGGCAAGATAGATTTCTAGGACTATCATTTCCCGCAATCGGTATGAGGCTGTAGTGGCACCACCAAGTGGTGCCAACGGTGGGGAACATATTTCAAGCTTTCATTTTTCAACCATCATTGACCACTAGAACAAACTAACACTAAACTGGAAAAAAGTTAAGGGCCTTAGGGAGTATCCCTTGTCAACTTTTTGACAGGTTTCAATGACTAGAAAAGGCCAGTTAGGTAACCTGAACTTTGTTGTATTTTACTTTGTCTATTGATATATAGATTAAAAGTCAGATGTTATTCCCCTTATCTTTGAAGTGCGCTTCAAATCATTACTGGGGCAAGGTAGAGGGCCCCTAGGACTATCATTTCCCGCTATCAGAATGGGGCTGTAGTGGTACCACCAAGTGGTGCCAAGGGTGGTGGACGTACTTCAAGCATTCATTTTGAAAGCATCTTTGGCTACTAGAACAAAGTAACACTAGTGAAAGGTTAAGGACCTTAGGGAGAACCACTTGCCTGTTTTTGAAGGGTGCCTGGGAAAAAAAGGGTCAGTAAGCTAACCTGAATTTTGTTGTTTTTTCTTTTTGTGTTTTAATATACAGGTTAAAGGTCAGCTATTATACCCCTTATCTTTGAAGTGTGCTTCAATTCATTACTGGGGCAAGGTAGAGGGCCCCTAGGACTATCATTTCCCGCTATCAGAATGGGGCTGTAGTGGTACCACCAAGTGGTGCCATAGATGGGGACCGTATTTCAAGCATTCATTTTGAAAGCATCCTTGGTTACTAGAACAAAGTAACACTAGTGAAAGGTTAAGGACCTTAGAGAGAATCACTTGCCTATTTTTGAAGGGTCCCTGGCAAAGGAAGGGGCCAGTTAGCTAACCTGAACTTTGTTGTTTTTCACTTTTTGTTTTAATATACGGATAAAGGTCAGCTATTATACCCCTTATCTTTGAAGTGTGCTTCATATCATTACTGGGGCAAGGTAGAGGGCCCCTAGGACTATCATTTCCCGCTATCAGAATGGGGCTGTAGTGGTACCACCAAGTGGTGCCAAGGGTAGGGGACGTATTTCAAGCATTCATTTCGAAAGCATCTTTGGCTACTAGAACAAAGTAACACTAGTGAAAGGTTAAAGACCTTAGGGAGAACCACTTGCCAGGTTTTAAAGGGTCCCTGGGAAGAAAAAGGTTCAGTAAGCTTACCTGAACTTTGTTATTTTTTTCACTTTGTGTTTTAATATACAGGTTAAAGGTCAGTTATTATACCCCTTATCTTTGAAGTGTGCTTCAATTCATTACTGGGTCAAGGTAGAGGGCCCCTAGGACTATCATTTCCCGCTATCAGAATGGGGCTGTAGTGGTACCACCAAGTGGTGCCATAGGTGGGGACCGTATTTCAAGCATTCATTTTGAAAGCATCCTTGGATACTAGAACAAAGTAATACTAGTGAAAGGTTAAGGACTTTAGGGAGAACAACTCGCCAGGTTTTTGAAGGGTCCCTGGCAAAGGAAGGGGCCAGTTAGCTAACCTGAACTTTGTTGTTTTTCTCTTTGTGTTTTAATATACGGATAAAGGTCAGCTATTATACCCCTTATCTTTGAAGTGTGCTTCAAACCATTACTGGGGCAAGGTAGAGGGCCCCTAGGACTATCATTTCCCGCTATCAGAATGGGGCTGTAGTGGTACCACCAAGTGGTGCCATAGGTGGGGGACGTATTTCAAGCATTCATTTTGAAAGCATCTTTGCCTACTAGAACAAAGTAACACTAGTGAAAGGTTAAGGACCTTAGAGAGAACCACTTGCCTATTTTTGAAGGGTCCCTGGCAAAGGAAGGGGCCAGTTAGCTAACCTGAACTTTGTTGTTTTTCACTTTGTGTTTTAATATACAGGTTAAAGGTCAGCTATTATACCCCTTATCTTTGAAGTGTGCTTCAATTCATTACTGGGGCAAGGTAGAGGGCCCCTAGGACTATCATTTCCCGCTATCAGAATGGGGCTGTAGTGGTACCACCAAGTGGTGCCATAGGTGGGGGACGTATTTCAAGCATTCATTTTGAAAGCATCTTTGCCTACTAGAACAAAGTAACACTAGTGAAAGGTTAAGGACCTTAGAGAGAACCACTTGCCTATTTTTGAAGGGTCCCTGGCAAAGGAAGGGGCCAGTTAGCTAACCTGAACTTTGTTGTTTTTCACTTTGTGTTTTAATATACAGGTTAAAGGTCAGCTATTATACCCCTTATCTTTGAAGTGTGCTTCAAATCATTACTGGGGCAAGGTAGAGGGCCCCTAGGACTATCATTTCCCGCTATCAGAATGGGGCTGTAGTGGTACCACCAAGTGGTGCCATAAGTGGGGACCGTATTTCAAGCATTCATTTTGAAAGCATCTTTGCCTACTAGAACAAAGTAACACTAGTGAAAGGTTAAGGACCTTAGAGAGAACCACTTTCCTGTTTTTGAAGGGTCCCTGGGAAAGGAAGGGGCCATTTTGCTAACCTGAACTTTGTTGTTTTTCACTTTGTGTTTTAACTTTTGGTTAAAGGTCAGCTATTATACCCCTTATCTTTGAAGTGTGCTTCAAATCATTACTGGGGCAAGGTAGAGGGCCCCTAGGACTATCATTTCCCGCTATCAGAATGGGGCTGTAGTGGTACCACCAAGTGGTGCCATAGGTGGGGGACGTATTTCAAGCATTCATTTTGAAAGCATCTTTGCCTACTAGAACAAAGTAACACTAGTGAAAGGTTAAGGACCTTAGAGAGAACCACTTTCCTATTTTTGAAGGGTCCCTGGCAAAGGAAGGGGCCAGTTAGCTAACCTGAACTTTGTTGTTTTTCACTTTGTGTTTTAATATACAGGTTAAAGGTCAGCTATTATACCCCTTATCTTTGAAGTGTGCTTCAATTCATTACTGGGGCAAGGTAGAGGGCCCCTAGGACTATCATTTCCCGCTATCAGAATGGGGCTGTAGTGGTACCACCAAGTGGTGCCATAGGTGGGGGACGTATTTCAAGCATTCATTTTGAAAGCATCTTTGCCTACTAGAACAAAGTAACACTAGTGAAAGGTTAAGGACCTTAGAGAGAACCACTTGCCTATTTTTGAAGGGTCCCTGGCAAAGGAAGGGGCCAGTTAGCTAACCTGAACTTTGTTGTTTTTCACTTTGTGTTTTAATATACAGGTTAAAGGTCAGCTATTATACCCCTTATCTTTGAAGTGTGCTTCAAATCATTACTGGGGCAAGGTAGAGGGCCCCTAGGACTATCATTTCCCGCTATCAGAATGGGGCTGTAGTGGTACCACCAAGTGGTGCCATAAGTGGGGACCGTATTTCAAGCATTCATTTTGAAAGCATCTTTGCCTACTAGAACAAAGTAACACTAGTGAAAGGTTAAGGACCTTAGAGAGAACCACTTTCCTGTTTTTGAAGGGTCCCTGGGAAAGGAAGGGGCCATTTTGCTAACCTGAACTTTGTTGTTTTTCACTTTGTGTTTTAACTTTTGGTTAAAGGTCAGCTATTATACCCCTTATCTTTGAAGTGTGCTTCAAATCATTACTGGGGCAAGGTAGAGGGCCCCTAGGACTATCATTTCCCGCTATCAGAATGGGGCTGTAGTGGTACCACCAAGTGGTGCCATAGGTGGGGGACGTATTTCAAGCATTCATTTTGAAAGCATCTTTGCCTACTAGAACAAAGTAACACTAGTGAAAGGTTAAGGACCTTAGAGAGAACCACTTTCCTATTTTTGAAGGGTCCCTGGCAAAGGAAGGGGCCAGTTAGCTAACCTGAACTTTGTTGTTTTTCACTTTGTGTTTTAATATACAGGTTAAAGGTCAGCTATTATACCCCTTATCTTTGAAGTGTGCTTCAATTCATTACTGGGGCAAGGTAGAGGGCCCCTAGGACTATCATTTCCCGCTATCAGAATG